AACACATCAGTATTAAAACATGATTATTGCTGACCATTCTCTTTATCAATCTACTTTGTTCTTCCTCTGCATCCGGCTGTTTTCATCCTTTGTCTTGCCTTCTTTTTTTCCATAGTTTAATACTATATTTAATTAATATTTAATACTATTATTATTTATACTGCCCCTCTTCTATTACATCTATTCTCCCTCAGATTTCAGATTTAGACCATTTCATTTCTTTCCTGGATGACCTCTATACTCTTGAAAGGAATCATATGTGATTTTAAAAAAACTATGAATAATCTGTACAATCAGAGACCACATAAAGGTTTTTTTTGTCGGAGGTTTGGTAGTCGGGCCCCTCTGAAACCCATAGATATGTAATAATAGGGCTTTGTGAGATTGTGGAATTGGCTACGTTCACTGAGTTTATTTCTAATCTGCTTTGGACTGAGAACAAGCAGTTCTGTTTTTTTTCTACATTTCAAAGAAAGGTTAGATGGCAGCCGTTATTTGAATTCTTGCAGACATTTGTCAATATTTATTGACAGTGATTGAAGTGTCATCATATCAGTACTTGTTTCAATAATTTTAATTTCTGCTACTTTATAATTTCATAAATTGTAGTTGTTTGTAGTCTTAGTTCTTTAAATATTATATAAATACTCATTTTTTGAGTAAATGCAGTTTGATTTTAGATCAGTGGCAAATTACGGTGGAGTTGTGTTTGTCTTCGTTCTGAACGTTCTGCCAAAGGAACACTATGTTCTCCTGGCCTTCGTCTGCACTCATCTCCCTTCCCAGCCAAACCAAAATCACGTCCTGCTGCAGAGAGACAAACACATAACCACGAGGACAAAAAAAATCATTCCTAAACCTGCAACACTGATTTAGATCTACCTCCAATGTTCAAACCCAAATAGCAGGATTATGTTTGCATGCTCAGAATATATTCGGTATAGGTCTGACTTTAACATGTCCTCTAGTATAAGGTCAAATCTGTAGTTGCCATGGTGACGGATTGCCTGCCCAGCCTGTCTCAGAATAATTAGGACATTTCTGACCTGCTGGGGTATGTGTCTGTTGAAGTCAAATCAATACACTGTCTCACATATTACCTGAGTGCATATATGTGTGTGTGTATCTTTAGGTGAGTATATTACTCTGTGAACCATATGAGATGTGACCAGGCAGATGTTTTACCTGCATTCACATTTGCTGCTCTGTGTGTATATAAAGTTCATGCCTGTGTGTGCAGGCATGACAGACATAGTTAATCATGGTTGGCTGGGCAGACTTTATACATGGATATGAGTGTGTCTCTGTGTCCCGGGGGAGCCACACAGTGTGACTGTTCTCACGGGATTGGGTGTGTCTGAGCACCTATCCCAGGGGCATGTCCAACACAAGGGCAGGCTTAGACCGTCTGACCCCTCCGTCTGACCTCTGCCCGGTCCCCCAACGGGCCCCACAAGCCCGGCCTGTGCAGGCATTTTCTTTGTAGGACCCCTCAGCGAGATTATTTTCGGTCTGGTTTATAAAAAGACAGTAGGAGATATTTATATTCACACAAACAGCAATTTCTGAAAGAGTGAGATTTAAGTTGTGCTATACAGTAAAGCATCCAGTATAGTGCCAACCCAAAATCAGTGGGTGTGTGGTCTCAGTCGCATGATTTTAACTGAATGAAGCTCTGTGTGCTAAAACCTCTAAACTCCTATTGTTGGATTAATGGTGTTCAAATAAAGCTTAAAAGACATAGTGGATAAGCAGATTTGGACATTTCCTCCAAACAGGATGAAATAACAACTTGATGTAAAGCTATTGAAATGAAGGAGTTTGCTCAATGGAGTGCATACCCAGCTGAGGTCATAGATATCAGTTCTCTAAATATGGGTGATATATAGACATCCTTGATCCACAGATGATGTATCCTACTGAATTTGGAAATCCCCACAGCAGCAACATGAGTTTCAT